CACCCGGAGGAAACCCACACCAACACGGGGAGAACATGCAAACTCCACACAGAAACACCAACTGACCCAGCCGATGTCTGATAATCAGCATTAGCGTAGCGCAGGACAGTATCACCCTCCGCCATCATCACGCTTGCGTCAGTATATTAGCGCTGACGTTCAGATATGCCGATGAGCTCTTCAACACACTCAGGCAACAGTAGACCAATCCCAAGCAGAGTGGGTGCATCTGGCCAATCAGAGCAGAGTCTGTCAGTCTGACCAGTCAGAGAGGAGCAGGCCTTCTGGAAGGCGGAGTTTAGGGAGACCAGAAACCAATAGGAGCAGAGAAACAGATGTAGCTGCGCTCACACTAGAGTTTGTGTGTGTGATATTCTGTGGTGCGGCGCTGTGAAAGGGGCGGGATTAAACAAGATTATTAGACATTAATAAAGCGAGCGATTGCTCCATGTGTTACATTTCTGTCCAGAGAGGTCATGTTTTGATCCTCGATTGGTCTCACGCAGTCAAGTGATGCGATTTCACAGGTCAGAGTTCACCAAGCTTGAACTTTACACTGCAGCAACCTGTGAAACTGAACGCATGACCCTGTGTTTCCGGTCTGACGCATTTACGAGTGTATGAATGGAAGTCTATGGGAGGAAAAGTCTAGTGTGACCGCAGCTTTAATGTTGGGCTCATTTAACTCAGATCTGCCAATCACTGATGACCTATCAACTTACTAGCGACACCCTAGCAACCACTTACGGTACCCTAGCAACTGTCCCATAGACTTCCATTGTAAAAATCTGCCACTGACTTTACATTGGACATGCAGGATTTTAAACATCAGCAGATCGCTGTGCCGTTCACACTACATGACTTGACTTTGTGTCTTTTAATCTCTGTGGTGTTCACACTACGCAACACTCTGTGAATGATCCACAAGAGGGGGGTCACACACTACATGATCTGACAACAACTCATTCCCCATCAGCTCATTCAAGCTACCAAACCACAGCCAATGAAATGTTGAGGGAGGAGTCAGCAGAAAAAGCTGAACACTATTGGCTGCTTGTGTGCTGATGACATCACTGACAGCGTTTCAAGCTTTGGAGAAAGCATTTAAAACATCGTCAAATCAGCTGATTTATGAGCGCATTAATCACTCATCTGCAGGTTCCAGTGGAGAGATACACAGAGAGTTTTTAATTTTTGTAATTTTATAACTCTTTGAAATAAAACTAACATATCTATAACACCCTGCCGCTTTCTAACTATCAGTGTATTTCTTTCTGACATTGTTATTTATTTTTATTACAAAACAGTACAGAACTGAGCATTTCTGCCTTAAATTACCATATTGGTCTTAATGACTGCATGCATGTCTGATACTTTTCACTGTGACTTTAAATATGTGTGCATTTCCTTGCCTGGCAACTTCCTGCTAACATAAACAAAACTTTCTGATGGCAAAAACATCAATTTACTGCAGATATCTTTCAAAACAGCAGATTCTGTGCTGTGAAAAAGCTCCTGTTTGAAAGTGAAAATGAAAGCCAAGACCTTTAAGTGTTTTAGTATCTTAACTACATATTTATAGGCTGTATTACCAGAAAAGATGATATTTTTAGGGTAATATTGTCATTAAATATGATGCCAAACATTCAAAGCTTAATTTTAATATCTCAATAATAGCTCTGAATGTAAATATGTTGTGACAGTATGGTGTTTTATATGAGAATGGTCAGAATGAGCAGTATGGTAATTCTAATATTTACAGAATTCTAGTTCCACTGTTAATATAGTCTACTCTCATGTCTGTGCTAACGCAGAATGAAGCGAGTGCACTGATGCCCATTCTGACCAATCACAGATGTTTCTGCTGAGCTCCTGAACACACAGGCATTCTGCTCATGCTGATCTGCTCTCTCATTGGCTGCAGCTCGTCACTACATCTGACCACACGTGGGGTTGAGTCGGCCGACTGCTCTGGAATATTCAGCATGCTGAATGTTGGATTTCCGTCTGCGAGGTGTCGGCGAGGTGTCGGCGACGCGTCAGCGAGCCTCGTTGATGCGTTGTTCAGTAGTTTACACATAACGCCGTGCACCCGCAGATTTCTTCCCGATCACAGCCCGATCTGTCGGCGAGCTCGTTAACTTCCAAATCGGGCTCANATCAGGCTTAAAATCCTCTAGTGTGAACTAGGCATTAGCAACCAGCTAGCAACACCTTAGAAATCACTTAGCAACCACTTACAACACCTTAACAACTGCATTGCAACACCTTAGTAACCACCTAGGACACCCTAGCAACGTCTTAGCAACCACTTAGAACACCCTAGAAACCACCTAGCAACCACTCAGTACACCTTAGCAACCACCTAATAATGCCTTAACAACCACCTAGGACACCTTAGCAACTGTCTAGCAACACCTTAGTAACAACTCAGAACACCCTAGCAACCACTCAGAACAACTTAGCAACCGCCTAGCAACGCCTGAGCAACCACTCAGAACACCCTAGCAACAGCCTAGCAACACCTTAGTAACCACCTAGCACACCCTAGCAACATCTTAGCAACCACTTAGAACACCCTAGCAATCACCTAGCAACCACTCAGCACTCCTTAGCAACCACCTAACAATGCCTTAGCAACCACCTAGGTTACCCTAGCAACCATCTAGCAACGTCTTGGTAACCATTCAGAACACCCTAGCAACCACTCAGAACACCCCAGAAACCGCCAAGCAACACCTTAGCAACCACCTAGAAAAACCTTAGCAACCACTCTTAAAATAACAAGCAACTGCCTTGCAACATCCTAGCAACCACATAGCAATGCCTTAGCAACTGCCTAGCAACCACATAAAACACCCTAGCAACACCTTAGCAACTGCCTAGCAGCCACCTAGCAACACCTTATCAATTACATGGAACACCCTAGCAACAGCCTAGCAACACCTTAGCAACCACCTAGCAACCACTCAGAACACCCTAGCAATTCCCTAGCAACATCTTAGCAACCGTCTGCATTATGGCGACAGATGGACTCCTGGTTCCAGAGTTCCTCACGGCCCGTGCTCATATATGATGATGAGCATCAGCTGCGGTCCTCATTAATATCAGCACAGTATGGCTTCTCTCCCAGTACTGGGTTGCGGCTGGAAGGGTATTCGCTGTGTAAAACATATGTTGAAATAGTTGGAGGTTCATTCCGCTGTGGCGACCCCTGATGAATGAAGGGACTGAGCTGAAATGAGCATGAGTGAATGAACATCACACTTCCCCTCTCTGCCTCCGCTGAGTGTGACGGGTCCGGCCCGCTGTGTGTTCTGGTTCTGTCAGTGAAGATGGTCAGCAGCAGGAGTGTGAGCCGGCGTCTGTGTTCCACATCAGCTGTAGTGCACTACACTGCATCATCAGAGTATGAGCTACAGCGCCCTTACTGTACATGAGCGGTGACCTCTGACCCCTGCTGACCCCGGTGCTCAGCCGCTGGAGAGAGCTGTGTGAGATCCACTGCAGCAGCGCAGAGACCAGGTGTGTGTTAATGAGAGTCTGCGTAATCCTGCAGATAACACACACACACACACACACACACAGCCTTCAGAGAGCGGCCGCACAGAGCCTCATCAGTGTGGGTGCATGTGTGTGTGTTTCAGGAGTGTGTGTTTTATCAGAGTGTGTGTGTGTGTGTGTGTGTGTGTGTGTGTGTGTGTGTTATATCAGTGTGTTTTAGGAGTGTGTGTCTACTATCTGTGTGTGTGTGTTTCATTAGTGTATGTGTTTATGTGTGTGTGTGTGTGTGTGTTTATGTGTGTGTGTGTGTGTGTGTGTGTGTGTGTGTGTGTGTGTGTGTGTGTGTGTGTGTGTGTGCGTCAGAGCTCCAGCAGGGGGCGCTCTCATTGGTCCACTGATCCTCTGCTGTAGATCAG